GGAAAGTGTGTGTAAGACGGCAGGCAGCTTCCAGAATGATATTGCAAGGCCATTTGTTTGCGGATGATAGGCAAGCGCTATTTTGTGTCGGATCCCCAACTTGTTCGTGAGATTAGTGAGCAGTTTGTTGCAGAAGTGAGATCCTTCATCGCTAATGATCGCTCTAGGTGTCCCAAACCTTGAGAATATGTTCTTGTGGAAGAATTTGAGGACCGTACGAGCATCGTTGGTAGTGGTGGCAATCGCTTCGACCCATTTTGACACGTAGTCCACGGCAAGCAAAATGTATAACTTCCCGTTCGACGAAGGGAATGGTCCCATGAAGTCTATGCCCCAAACATCGAAAAGCTCCACCTCTTGCATGTTGTTCAAAGGCATTTGGCTTTTGTTGGATAGGTTCCATGTTCGTTGGCATCGATCACATCGTTTCACGAACTCGTAACTATCTCGGAATAGGGTTGGCCAAAAGAAGCCTGACTGCAGAACCTTGGCGGTTGTGCGAGATTCCCCGTGATGCCCGCCACAAGGTGAAGAGTGGCAATGTGTGAGAATTTCACGTACTTCTGTCTCCGGAACACATCTTCGGATGACACGATCGGGGCCGGTTCTGAAAAGCAATGGCTCGTCCCAAAGATAGAAACGACTGTCGTGAAGGAATTTTTTCTTTTGATGATAAGAAAGATCGTCAGGAATGATTCCACTGGCCAAGAAGTTGGCCACATCAGCATACCACGGAGTGTGAGTACTAATGGCGAGCAGTTGCTCGTCTGGGAAGGATTCCTGAATATTTCCTTCGGCTGGAACTTCTTCTAGTATGAGTCTGGAAAGATGATCTGCTACCACATTCTCGCTCCCTTTTTTGTCTCTGATTTCCAAGTCGAACTCCTGGAGTAGGAGTACCCATCTGATGAGTCTGGGCTTGGCGTCCTTCTTTGCGAACAAGTATCGAATAGCTGCGTGGTCGGTGTAAATGATCACCTGAGACCCCAAAATATACGGTCTGAACTTGTCAACAGCATAAACGACAGCAAGCATTTCCTTTTCGGTCGTTGAATAGTTCTTTTGTGCCTGGTCAAGTGTACGACTCGAATAGTAGATGGCTTTGAAGATTTTGTCCCTCCTTTGTCCCAATACTGCACCTACAACATAGTCGCTCGCATCGCACATGATCTCGAATGGTTCCTCCCAATTGGGAGTAATCATGATCGGTGATTGGGTTAGCTTCTCCTTGAGAAACGTGAAAGCCTGCAAACAAGCAGAATCGAAATCAAAGACCGGTTCCTTCTCAAGCAAATGACCTAATGGTTTACTATGTTCGAAAAATCTCTTATGAATCTACGGGTAAACCCAGTATGCCCCTAAAAACTTCTGACTCCTTTGACATCCTTCGGTGGAGGCAATTTTTCATCGTTTCGATTTTTGCCCTATCCACCTCAAGACCCTTTTTCGAGACCTTGTGACCTAGAACAATACCTTCACGAACCATAAAATGACATTTTTCCCAATTTAAAACAAGGTTCGTTTCTGTACATCTTTTCAAAACAAGTTCTAGATTGTGCACACAATGATCGAAAGACGATCCAAACACAGAAAAATCATCCATAAACACCTCAAGAAACTCTTCTACCATATCATGAAATATAGACATCATACAACGTTGAAAGGTAGCAGGCGCATTACACAAACCGAAAGGCATCCTACGAAATGCAAAAGTACCGTAGGGGCAAGTAAAAGTAGTTTTCTCTTGGTCTTCCGGGGCGATTGAAATTTGATTGTACCCCGAATAACCATCAAGAAAACAGTAATACTCGAAACCTCCTAGCCTGTCTAGCATTTGATCGATAAAGGGAAGGGGGAAATGGTCTTTTCTAGTGGCTGCATTCAATAATCGGTAATCGAAACACACACGCCACCCAGTGACTGTTCTAGACGGAATAAGTTCATTTTTATCATTCACAATAACCGTCATCCCACCCTTTTTGGCACAACCTGCACCGGACTGACCCACGGACTGTCAGAAATTGCATAAATCATACCAGCGCCTAACAGTTTTAAGACTTCTTTTTTGACTACCTCTTTCATTGACGGGTTTAACCGCCTCTGAGGTTGGACTCTCGATTTATAGACGTCTTCCATTAGAATTTTGTGTTGAACAATAGACGGGCTAATTCCCTTAATATCCTCAATAGACCAACCTATAGCTGACCTATATTCTCTAAGGACCTCCAACAGTGTGTTTGTTTCGGCCTCGCTCAAACTAGAAGAAATAATCACCGGATAAGTCTTGTCTGCTCCAAGAAAAGCATAACAAAGATAATCCGGTAATTGCTTCAATTCCAGTACGGGGGCCGTTTTCACACTAACTGGTATCTCGGGGACAATTCGTACCTCGTCTACGCCTAAAATCTCGGCACACTCAAGAAACAACACACAATCAAGCACATCATTTTCAATAGGAGTTTCAGGGGAGGCAGAATGCAAATCAATAGAATTAACAATGCAGTGCTCAATAGAATCACACAATTCATTCAAATCAAAAAAGGAAGAAACACAGTCCTCGATCACGTCTATACTACTGCAATGCTCAACATGCTCAGAGTGTTTAAATGCATCTGTCAAATTAAAAACAACTTCTTCCCCATTTACCCTAAGCATTAAAGATCCTAATTCCATATCAATCATCGCCTTACCAGTGGCTAAGAATGGACGACCTAAAATGATTGGTGCTTCATCATCTTCAGGCATTTCAAGTACCACAAAATCAACAGGCAAAATGAATTTATCTACTTTAACTAGCACATCTTCTACTATCCCATCGGGATATTTCAATGAACGATCAGCTAGTTGTAAAGTCATGCGAGTGCGGTTCAAATTTCCTAAGCCCAGTTTTAGAAACACAGACATATGCATCAAATTAATACTTGCCCCCAAATCACATAAAGCTTTATCGAAAGTAGAATTTCCAATAATACAAGGAATAGTGTAACTCCCTGGATCTTTCATTTTCGGTGGTAGATTCGACTGAAGAATGGCACTGCAAGTTGCCGTGAATGCCACTGGTATGTCTTATTCGATCCGAATTTTCTTGGATAGAACTTCCTTCATGAACTTGGTGTAGTTTGGCATTACCTCCAAGGCTTCTGCAAAAGGGATGTTGATTCGAATCTGTTTGATCTTTTCAATGAACTTCTTCAATTGATCCTGGAACCTTTTTTTCTTCTGTCTTTCTGGAAAATGAATAGGAGTTATCAATAGAGGGGGATTATCAGGAAAAGAAATGTTATTGGGCTTACTAGCCTCTTTTGTACCACTCCCTGAAATGGTGATTTCTGGCTCGACTGGGGTCGGTTGTACAGCTGGCCTTGGTGACTCGTCCGTCGGATAAGGAGGATCGGTCATTTGCAAACCACTTCGGGTGGTTATGGCTTGACAGCTTTCTTTTGGATTGACTTCGGTATTGCTCGGAAATCCACCTTTGGCCATTGTGGACATGGATTGGGCGATTTGCCCTATTTGCTTTTCCATGTTCTTCATTGTTGATTTCAGGCCCTCCATTTCCTGTTCTTGTCGGTGAAGACGCTCGTCATACGTTGGCCCTCGTTGCTCTCTTTGATGGTTGAAATCGGGAGGTGGTTGTAGAGCATTCTTTGGATTGGCGTAGGAGAAGTTCTCGTGATTCCGAATTCCCGGGTGATAATGAGTAGGGTTTTGGTTCTGATTGTGGGTTCCCCGGAAATTGTTGAATCGGTGGTTCATAAAGTGTGCCTGCTCCCAATCGTCGTTTGTGGCTTGTGAAGTACTTGCTGCTGCTACTCGTTCGATCTGTGGCCCTCGAACTGAAATTTGGGCGACCTGATTTGATAGGGTCGCTAATTGTGCTGAAACTGCGGCTAAAGGATCGAGTTGGTGGACTCCGGCCACCTTTTGTATACCACTCCGTTCGGACGGCCAATTGTAAGCATTCTCACACATTCGCTCGACAATGTCTCGAGCGTCTGTGGGAGTCTTGTTTTGCAATGATCCACCTGAAGCAGCATCAACTAAAGATCGGGCTGGTTGATCGAGCCCATTGTAGAATAACTCCATTTGGTCCCACGGGTTGAATCCGTGTTGAGGGCATTGTCGTAATAAGTCCTTGAATCTCTCCCAAGACTCGTGCATCGGCTCTTGGCTCATCTGTCTGAAGTTGCCTACATCTCTTCGTAATTGTGCGGTCTTCGAGGGTGGAAAGAATCGTGCCAGAAAGGCTTGTGATAATTCTTCCCAACAGGTGAGTGATCCTGGATTAAGACTCAGAAGGCAACTCTTTGCTTTGTCTCTGACAGAAAATGAGAATAGCTTCAATCGAATGGCATCATCGGAAACACCGTTAACTTTGATCGTGTCACAAATCTCCAAGAAATTGGCAAGATGGAGATTTGGATCTGCAGTGGCTGCTCCGGAGAATTGGTTCGCCATGACCATGTTGATTAGCCCCGTCTTCAGCTCGAAGTTGTTTGCGGCTATCGTCGGTTTCCTGATTCCCGAGTAGTTCTCATTCACAGCTGGAGTTCGGTATTCTCGCATTGTTCGCTCGGGTGGCAGGTTCGGTCTTGGCTGCTCGTGATCTCGTCCTGGCTCTCGATCGTACTCAAAGGCCAGGTGCTCTGGATTTCCTTGATCTTCGGCCATTGGTTCACTTTGTTGGTTGCGCGTGGCCCTTAGTCTACGAAGTGTCCTTTCAATCTCGGGATCGTAAGGTATGATTTCCAAATTTCGACGCCTGGGCATAAACAAAGTGATCGGTTAATATCAAGGTACAAATCGAAAATAAAGCAGGTAAATAGCTAAAGTAATAGTCAGATAATTGGTAACACTATCAACAAAGATAAAATCAAATTGGTCCCCGGCAACGGCGCCAAAAACTTGATACTCGTTTTCCTCACGTATAAATTACCGCAAGTATACAGTATCGCATTTTGCAGAACAGTTCCGGATATCGATCCACAGGGACCTTGTAGATTCACATGCTGAGTAGTGTAATTATATTATCGTTATATTATCTAGCCGATCGTAAATATTTGGAATTGTGAGAAACCCTAATTTGAAGGCATGCAAGATCGTAAACATGCAAATTTAGAATGTACGTAAATAAAGTAACGACAACTCAACGCGGGGGGACTTCGATTTAAAGGGGACTTCTAGAGCCAAATCCACCTATGTATAATCAATAACGATCTACAAATCCGTTATCTAATGTCACATTCATATTCGTAACCCAGAATTCTAGTCTTACCTCTCGCGGTTAGGTAGGGTGGCTGCAACTGCCGTCCTTCGAAAGAGCTTTTTGCCCGTTTTTTT